AAAAAAAAAAAAAAAAAAAAAGGCTGCCTGGATTCTCCACCAATAGGAGTTGGCGGGAGGCAGGGCGACATTGTTTGGCCTGGTAACGCGGTGCCCGACGGAGTTGCTATGGGGTGGAGGAGCACTGGCGGGGCTGTGCAGGGACTGGGTTGGGTGACTGTTCCCTTACAGTGTTGCAGGCGTATAATTATCCTGTTTGTACCTACCTTTCAACCCTTGTACAGTGTAACAGCAATAATAGTAAAAGTGTTCAAAATGTACCAGAATAATTTTTGAGGCAGCTCATTGATGCAGCGGAAGCAAAACCCAAGTCTCTCAGGGAGTCTTTACTGACCTGGGGCTTGCTCTCAGCGCTTTCTTATGTTGGCTTGCCTCGAAATAAAGGCTTCAACTTTGATGTCCCAGCTCTCGCTTGCTCGCTGCAGAATACACAAGGAGCACATTATAAAGAAAGCTTACTTATTTTCCAGTGTATGATAGTTTTTCAACAAACGCAATCATTTTGAGCTTCCAATATGACCATTTCCTGTTGAACCTGGCTGTTGCTGCATGTGTCAAGGGTTTATTCTGAGCCTCCCTCAGAGGCGCTGGGTGTTGGCTGCACCCAAGACTGGTGACCTTGACTGGGGTGTGCCACTGCTTCTGCTGGGCAGTGCCAGATTTAGGCTTAAACTACTTACATTACAGCGTAGGTCCTCACAATATGAGGGTCCTCTAAATAAGAAAAAAAAGGGACATTTTTGCTCTAATATAACAAAAATATACATATATATGGCTCCCCGGTTAGTATTCATATTGAGTTCATAAATTTGTGCAGAAATAACAATAATTCATTAAAAATTTCATTAAAATGCATTTTCATGGATTATTTTTATCATATGGGACCTCAAACTGGACATATTTTAGGGCCAAGCATGTCACAGTCTGGCACTGCTGCTGGGACTTACACCCCTGGCTAGAGGCTCTTGCCCCTCCACTCAGGGGCAGGCCAGTAGCCATATTTGGGGTCAGGAAGGGGTTTTTACCCCAGGGGCAGGTTGGTACAGGCTGGGGCACGGCCCTTGAACATATATTGATAACACTTCTTAGAAGCAGGAAGTTGGGTGCCATGGCTCCCCAGCTTTACCTGTGGAGGGGTTAGGGTGTTAGACCTGTGTTGTGTCAGGGCTGATAGTAGCCTGATGTAGAGTTTCGGGTATGGTTTGTATAAAAGGGTTTGGGTAGGGCTGATCCTTTCTCAGGCAGTGGGCTGGGCTAGGTGGCCTCTGGAGGTCCCTTCCTGCCCTGCTTTTTTGAGTCTGTGACACTACAATAGAAGTGGAACATTGGAAGCGGGGTTTCCCCTGATTTATGCATGGCAGATTAGGGGGTTATGCTTGGTTGTGTCAGAGGTGACTATGTATAGTCTTGCTAAGAGAGGTCAGACAGTGGGTTTGTAACAGGTGACCTGTGGAGGTCCCTTTCAGCCCTACTCCTCTCTGATTCTATGACTTCCCAGGAATCCCAGCACACCTCAAGAGTCCCTCTTTGTGGCGTCACAGACTCAGACCTCTGGAGACAATCTTGTCCAACCCTCTGCCTGAGGCAGAGTTATCCCTACCCAGACCAGCCCATACAAATCCAACATCTAAATTCTAGATTAGCCAACCATCAAACGTGACACAACACCGACCTAGCATCCTAACCTGCCACAGGTAAAGCAGGGGAACCATGGCAGTCAATGTCCTGCTTCTGCAATAGAGAGAGAGGGCTGGAAGGGACCTCCAGAGGCCATCTCATCCAACCCCTGCCTGAAGCAGAATCAGCCCTATCCAAACCGTTCTGTACAAATCCATCATCTAAACTTTACATAAGACTACCATCAACCCTGACACAGCACAGACCTAATCTCCTAACCTGCCACAGGTCTGAAGTAGTGGAACCACGGCAGCCAGCATCCTGCTTCTACGAAATGTTGTCAGTTATATGCCCAAGAGATTCCAGCTAGAAGGCCACATCCCTTGCTACAGAGGATGGCAAAAACCCCTACAGGCTGTACCAATCTGGCCATGCGTAGAATTCCTTCCTGACCCTAAATATCGCAATTGGTCTGACCCTGAGCAGAAGGGCAAGACCCTCTAGCCATGAACCTCCAGCAGAAGCACTGGCACACCCCAGTCAAAGTCCCCAGCCTGCCAGTGTCTCTGAGTGAGGCTTAAAAGCACCCTGACACATGTAGCAGCAAGTGGGGAATGGGCAGTCAGCAAAGCCCATAAGGATGGGAAATGCCCATAGTAGACCATAGGCTTACCTACCCCTAGATCATCCCTGACCATTGTTTCTACAGGATTAGTTTCTGTCTCTTTTCCAGGAATTTATTCCCCACCTTATCTCAGCAGTGTCTGCACAGGCTTTGCCACCTGGTTTGTGAGACTTCAAGCCCATTCTCCGTATGATTTTAGTGCCTCCCTTCTTCCCACCACCTGCTGCTCTTAGGTTTTTTTCCTCTTTTTTAAAAAAAATTCTTTGAGGGAAAGATTTTGCAGGGTGGTTCTGTGGCTGCTAATTATAATGAACAGCAATAGCTAATGTAAGGCCCTCATTCTGCAAAGAGTCAGAGGGGAGCAGATCCCCACACTCACCCAGCATCCAACTCAATTGAGTAAGCTGCATGCAGGCGTAGCAATCAACCTGCTTGCAGAATATAATGGTATCAGAAGACTGGAGTCTCCTTGGAAGAAGACCAGGTTTGACAGTGATGCAGTCTAACACAGTGGTTCTCAATGTGTTTAGACTCAAAGTCCCCCTCAGTAGATTTGAGTTCCCCCTTGGGAAACTCCCCAACTCTTAGTTTTCACTCTTTTTTTTTACTATTGAAAAATACTAAAGTAAGTCTTCTGTTGCAGGAAGCTCAGAAGGCCTACAACAGGGCAGAATGGTTTTAACACTGTGAACTGCTGTTTGAAATCTCTGAGTCTTGCTCTCTAGTACTACAGTATATCCTTCACATGGTAGCCTTTATCCTTGTCTCTGGTGTTTAACTTGTGAACCATGCTTGAACAATTCACATGCTAACATTGCAGGCACATGGAAGGATCTCAAGGCACCCCAGGGTGCCAGGGCACTTCCTCTTGAGTATCAGTGGTCTAGCAGAATGCTTTGCATGACCCCATGTTGTCTCCATGAGGTAACTTAAGCAGTTCTCTTTTTATGGTAACTTCTGCAAAGTCTAAATCAGCTAATGTTTCTGTCTTACTGCCCTGGCCTTTGTACAGCTTCAGACTTAGCAGTCATCCTCTTTCATTATTATTCTACTGGATGGCTGGGGGGCAGGGCAGGGGCAAGCAAGAACTCATCAGATCCCAGAAAATCTCTTTCAACCCATTGTAGACTGAAAACTCCATCATCCCTGACTTGACTTAGATTAGCCTTCACAGCACACATTGTGAATACATCAAGGTAGTGGAAGGGAGCTGGAGTTACCCTGTGAGACTGGAACCAGCACAGGAAACTGTGAAATAAAATTAGTGGGGAATGTTGGAGCTGCCTTCTGAGGGTGGTCCCCTCCCAAGGGAATCTTTCATCACTCGAGATAATGCTGAGTCCCTGCTCTGCAAATTTCAGATCATGTTACAAGGTCTGTTTCTTTCCACAGGGCTTCCTTTGTGAAAGAAACTGTAGAATGCCCTTCACATCTCTGCTTGTAGAACTGGTGACCCAGATGTTACAGAAGACAGCAAAAGATTTTTTTTTTGGGTGAGTTCTTTATGTTCAGTAGGGCAAGGACAGCTGCATAAAGGTTCTTTAAAAGGGAGGACAAGGGTTTGGGGGTTTTTTTGTTTTGTTTTTTTTACTGTCAAGATAGCAACAGCTTGAAGTCTTGTTTGACTTTTCCTGGAAAACCAGACAGTTTTGCCTTTCAACTTTAGTCTAGTGGACATAGGCACACAGTGCCAGGAGCCCTAAACAAACTAGCTCAGGTGTGGCAAACAATGTAACTTTGGCACGAAGCTCCTCCCAGGTAAGCTGGTCATCACTATTGTAGGAGTAATTAGCTTACTTGACTAGAAAAACAGACAAAGACCAGACGTGCTGATACTGCTTAATTCAAATGTTCTGAGATAAGGAATCCGTATTCCTACATTCCTTGGGTTATCTTGATATCTTGCCCTGTGCATTCCTGCATGCCTTGGGTTATCTTGATATCTTGCCCTATGCATAGATAGTTTGTTTAAGTAAAACTTTCTAAGTTTCTGTGTAATTTACTATTGTTTTGTTTCTCCAAGGTGTATTTTTTATGTCTTTCTCTGTCTTAAGTACAAATACGCATGTAACCTTAGAGAGTCTGAGAAATCCTTTGAAACAGACAAGTGGGTGATTCCCCTTGCTGTATGGAATTCTCCCTGTGATCACAGTATAGCCCTAAATAAAGAAAAGCTGGCTCTGTCAGTTCTGATTCAACCACAACGCAAAGTTTGATTTCTTCCACACTATGTTACACCTCAGTGTGCAGTATAGACATTCTAGACCAGATTGCCTGTTGGTTAGTAGGTCTGCCAGGCCTGTCTAGTAAAAGCTGGCTAGGGGAGACTAAGGCTGGTA